TATATATATATATATAAACCAAACAAACCCCAAACCTAGAAAAGCCTAGAAGGGTTTTCTTTCTGAGCATGAAACAGTGATACAACAGTCAAATAGAATTTCAGAATCTGTAACATAAATATTGAATATTTATTAATAATGCTGTCTAGAGCGCTGTCTAGTGTCTAACGTTAGGCATGTTAAAGGAGAAGATATGGAAATAAGAGCTAAACCTTCACTAAAGCAATAGTCAGATCTATGTAATTAGTGGCAATGTGATTAACAGTACCTGAAATGTCCATTCGCTAGCTTGCTTCCATGTACAGCCATCATGGTATTGACAAGGCCCTGCCCTGTTGTCATGGGGTTGTGCCAGAGGTAGCAGGAAGGGCAATGCTATAGCCTTAGGCTGGATTCACAGGGCACCAGGCACAGCACTGAAACCCCACAGCACTGAGTTTTAAATGCATTGCTGCTGGGTGGAATGTCCTCTTCCTACTATGGCCTCTGAAAGGAAAAGCTGAGCTGTGCAGAATGTCACCTGCAGCAGTTGATAAGACACAACATTTCCCCCCCCCAGTCCCAGCACCTGAATGAGGTGCCAAGTGCCATTATAATACTTTTCAACCAGACTCTCTGTGAATCCAGGCTCTTACCTGCTGCACAGAACACCCTGCCATCGGGCTACCAAGCACTTGAGCAGGGTTCTTTGCACCTCTGCTGATGAAGCTTTTGCATGTATTTCTAATATTCATCTGAACAGAAGCTGGAATACAAGTCTTCTGTCATTCAGATTTCTTTCTGCCTTTTTCTCCTTCCCAGTTGTTTAATCTTGCTAAGCAAAATGAAACTTTCAGTGCAAGGTACTAGAAGAGACCTATCCAAAAATACCCAGTTTCCCAGTATTTAGGATACCGCTCACACTGCATCTTTTGCACTTTAAATCTGCCTTTTCCATATCTCACCAGGCGTTCAAAGGAGCTGACTCTAGGCAGGGAAACTGTTGCAGTGGCATTGCCAACCCCGTTATGTTTTTAGAGGGCTGTAGATGTCCAATGCATGCTTTATTGGCTGAATACACTATACAAAACGGGGATGAAAGCCAGTGGGGCATAGGTTTGATAAATGTGCTTATTGGTGCAGTGCTGTCAAGACGTGGGTGTTCCCTGGACACATTAAAACACTGGAAGCTTCAGAAAATTGTTAAAAACTGTCCAAAGAGTCTGAACAACTAAGGTTTCATCTCAGGTGCTTCATGCAGTAGTTATGGGTCTGTTGGTCTACTGGTCCCTCCATCAGCCTGCAGAGATACCCCAGCTGGCTCTGGGAACAGAAGCTGTGGAGTCAGGATGTTGTGGGCCAGAGGAGTTAGCCACCCTGAGGGAGAGAACATGTTGGCTCAGGCACACCAGGAGCACACGGCTGCACACCTTTGGGGACCTGCACGTGTACTTTGGTGTACTCTGCGCCACGGATGTACAAACTTGTTCTTTCCCACACTCTCCAGTGCCTGGTGTTGCCCTTGTAAATATGTGTCCTGTCGGCTGTCTGAATGCACTGAGTTCATTCCTCATGACAAGAAGTGAGTGAAAATGCACGTGCTACTAATAGAATAGTATTAAAATAGGTTATCTAAAAAGGCTTTTCTGTTCTGTGCTACTGCTTAGTTTGAATAGCTGAAAGGCAGAAAGTGGGCGATTCTTTTCTTTTAAGCCTTTTGCTGTGTTTGGAGTAGCACCACAACACAGTTAAAAGTCAAAAGGATTATTAATTCTACCCCAAAGTATATTCACCAGCAGAGGGTTTACCGTTAACATACACTGCATATTCCAGAGCTCCACAAGACTAGATAGAGCTTGAAACTTCTTTTCTTAGAGTTTCTGGACTGCAAAATCTTCAGTGTTGAAGTGCTGATTCCTTTTTTTCTTTTGTCTGTCAGCACAGTTCTTACCATCTGGAGCTAGTTTAGCAGAAAGGTGTGGATGTATATTTGTCTTTCAATCCACTCAATAAAATGTGACACATTGCTATAAACTCCAGGTCCCAAAACCTTGGAAAAGCAGACGGAGCCCCAGGATGTTAAACCAAACAAAGTCCAGCGCCCTGCAGGTTGTTCACACACAAGCGGCCCTCCACTGTCACCCTGCAACGTGAAAGAAAAAAAACAGGCTATAGGAGCTGCACATGGCCAGCAGTCACACGGTCAAAGCTGTGTCTCAGTTCTGCAGAGATTTGCCTCTCATAGCTAACAACTCAGCTCTGAAAACTGGCTGCTCTGCTGAACTATGGAGCAGCACACAGCATTCCCCATATTTATTCCCTGTTATATTTGTACAAAAAATTACCTGCAAAAGGCTCATACAAATTATTTTAAAAAGTCTAATAGTTACCTAATACAGGTAAACCTTAGTGTCTTCAAGCAGCATTTCATTATCATAAACTGAAGTTGGTTATATCAATAATAATAA